GTGAATCGGACGTCTCGGTCACTAATGATGGTCTTTGGTAAACCAAAGTCCCTTACCCAGTTGTCCTTGAACAACTTGATAACGTATTCTGTCCTGGCTGTTTCTGGCATTAATATTAGTCTAGCGTACTTGGTGAATCTGTCAATGATGACGAATATGAACCTCTTACCACTCTTGCTGGTCACTAGGGTGTCCATGAAGTCCATGGAAACACTCGGTCCTGGACCATCAGGACTTGGTAAAGGTTTCAACAACCCAAGCGGTGCTTGAGTTCGCGGCTTGTCCTGCTGACAGACCTCACAGGTCTCAACATACTTTTTTGCGTCATCTAACATTCTGGGCCACCAAAATCGCTGTACCAAGTTAGCACTCGTCTTCTTGTAGCCAAAGTGCCCAGTTGTGTCGTGACATTCGCCTAAAAATAAACTACGCAACTGTTCACTAGATGGAAGTACCAATCTCTTTACTCCGGCCTTATCAAGATAGATTAGCCCATCCACCATCACAAACTCACTTTCTGTGGCCTTATCTTTTGCCTGAAGTTTGCGGATGATGTCCATCGTGACAGGATCTTCCTGATAGGCTCCCACCAATGATTGAGTTACTTCGTTAGATACGCCGAATTCATAAATTAGTGCACCTAGGTAGTCTGCTCTACGGGATAGCGCGTCTGCAACCTTGTTGTACTCTCCATTCAGGTACTCAAGCTTGAAGTCATATTGATCTATGACCTCAATCCATCGCTTGAGTGCATCAGAAAGAGCCGGTTGAGTCTTGATCCATTTGAGGGTCTAATGATCAGTCCTCAGATAGAAGAACCTTCCCAAAAGGAACTGTCTCCAATGGACAAGTGCCTTGTAGAGAGCATAGAGTTCCCTTTCGTAGGTGGACTTAGCAACCTTCTTCGATGGCATCTTCTTACTCATGTACTCAATTGGTCTCAACTTTTTCCCATCCTGTTGAGCCAGCACTGCGCCAATGCCGTATTGGCTTGCGTCAGTGGTCACTATGAATGGCTTCTGCGGATCGGGAACCATGAGAACTTCATGATTCATGAGTGCATGCTTCAATCTCTTGAAAGCACCCTCGCACTCATCACTCCAGTCCCACGGTGTGTCAAGTCGAGTTAGATCAGTCAAAGGAGAGGCGACTGTAGAATAGTTCTTTACAAAGTTCCTATAGGAGCCGCACATTCCTAAGAATGATCTGACCTCAGTGACTGTCTGAGGTCGTGGCCAGTCTCGAATACTAGCCACCTTCGCATCTTCCGGCCTAATTCCTTCCGCGGATACTTCGTGACCCAAGTATAGTATCTTAGTGCGGCCGAACTCACACTTCTCTAAGTTGACCTTATACTTGTGCTGTCCCAGGAGTGAGAGAACTGTCTCAACGTGCTTTGCGTGCTCCTGGGCAGACTTACTAAAGATCAGAATGTCGTCCAAGTAAACCACAACAAACTTATCTAAATGGTCATGGAAGATCCGATTCATAGCGTGCTGGAATGTACCGGGCGCATTGCAAAGACCAAAAGGCATCACTACAAACTCATACAGACCATATCTAGTCTGAAAAGTTGTTTTGTGTTGGTCCTCAGGTCTTATTGCGATCTGGTGATATCCGGATTTCAAGTCTAGCTTTGTATAGTACTTGCATCCCTGCACCCTATCCAATAGGTCGTCTATGCAAGGTAGAGGCTCTGCGTTTTTCACTGTGATGGCATTGAGGTCCCTATAATTAATGCACATCCTCAAAGTACCCCCCTTCTTCGGTGCAAATAGCACGGGTGATCCGTAAGGGGAAGTACTAGGCCGAATCCATCCCTTCTTTGTCAGCTCCTTGAGTTGCTTTCGAAGTTCATCTAACTCGGCAGGGGCCATCCTATAGATCCTTCCCTTTGGGGTCTTACTCCCTGGAATGATTTCTATAGCGTGAACGACTTCCCTATCAACAACTCCTGAGGGCTCCTCGAACAGATCGGGGAACTTAGCAACGACGCTTTCTATCTCTGGGGGTGTTTTAACGGCCTCCCCTTTCTCAGAGACGTAAACAAGGTACATACCCTCCTCTTGGTTTTGCTTGTAATAGTTATAGAATGCTGATGTGCACAAGCCGCCATAGGTATCTACAATACTGCTGGCCTTGAACTTAGTCATTCTGACAGTTCGGCCATCGGGCAACTTGTATTTCAGCACCTTCTTATCCCAGTTGAACTGGGGCTCAGCAACTTCGAGGTAATACATGCCTAACAACATATCGAATGGCAAGTCGTCGCTAACCAAGAACGAGATCTTATGGTTAAGCTCACCTCCTCCATAGGAGAAGGTACAGACTACGTCCTTGATGTAGTCTGTTTCAATCATGTGCTCCTTGTTGGCCAAAGTAGATGCTACAGGTCTACTAAGGTGTCGTACGAGGTCCTGTAGGTGCAGCCTGTCCAAACAGTCGCGACTTATGTAATTCCGCGTGGAGCCAATGTCTATGAAGGCACCACATTTGCGGCCTCCTACATCGACTTCCACCACGAAATGTTCCCCTCTAGGACCTTTCCTTAGTGCCACCCAGGACTCACGAGGGTCCTTGTTTGACCACTCACTCTCCAAGTCCTCTAAGGCTTCAGACACATCTAACGTACAGAGCATAGTTTGGTCTAGTTGTGTCAGCGGGGTGACTAAGGGGTCATTAGCCTTGGCCTTGTCATGAAGTAGGGAGGGTATCATTCATACTTCATCTTGAGTAGAAGCAGCTACTACTTCTACTGGCCTCACGTGTTTCCCGAGGTAGAAGCCTGGGAATAAGTTGCCCCTACTTTTGGCGCAACCTTTTGCGTAACCTTAGCGTTCTGACACTTCCACTGCGTGTGTCCGTATTCCCCGCAGTTGATACAAGCGCCACGCGATCGACGGTCACGCCACACATCTTGATCAAGACCTGCCTTAGTCCACTCAGCCTGTTTGGTCTGATTGGAGGCGGCTTTCCCTTGACCCCTAGGCTGGCCCTTCCCTCGGCCTGTTTGGTCTTAACTACCGCGGCGAGGGTGCTACCCTCAGCTACCTCCTCGCCGTCATACTCTGAATAGTCCACCAGGTCAGAGAGTTCGTCGATCTCAGTTTGAGTCCCATCGAACTCCACCATCATCAACTTTGCCCCCTTCTTCTTCCACTCCTGGGGACTCTTCTTCTTCTTTAAGTCATTTCCTAAGGTGGGTTGAGCATTGCCTAGCGTGGCCTCTAAGTCTAAGGCTTTCCTAGACAATGTCTCAAACGAGTGGTACTTAGTGAGTGCCTCACTGGCTAGTAAGTTCCTGATGTTCTCAGGGAGACATCTAACAAACGTTGTTAACAGGACTGGTCACTGTAGTTGATACCTGGGACGAGGATCAGGCTCTCAACGGTAGTCATAAGCTCCCTAATTGTCGTGAAGTTGCGTTGGTCCAGTTTGTTAATGGCATCAGTGGCCTTTTGTGCCTCCTGTGGGTTATGCCATCGAGCTTCTACCATCTTCACAAACTGGTCTAATGTCAGGGACTTAGCCCAATCCGCCATGCGTCTCCCATACCCGGCCTTGATAACTACACCATCTAACCACTTGGCTGCCTTACCCTCGAGGTAAGATGCAGCAGTTACCACTTCGTCCTCAGGCAAGGTCCTCTTTGACTTCACCCAAACCGGGACGGTCCTGAACCATGTGTTGAGTTCCTCGTCCTTTCTCTCGCCTGAGAAGGCAAGAGGCAGTTTCATTGGGGTTTTGGGATACCATTGACCTTGCTGCTGTCCCTGTGCAGGAACAGATTGTTGCGGTGGTGTAGCAACCACCGCTGGACCCGAAGAAGAAGATGCAACAATCTGAGCGGCTGCTGCAGATGTGCCACTTGGCTGTGTGCCTGCTTGAACTGGAAAGGGGCCTGACATCGCCGATAACGGCAACAACGATTGTGCTGATGGCCGGAATCCTGGCCTTTTCAAAGCATCCAGGATCTGGTCTAGAGTGCTCTGCATGAAGTCTAACTTACTGTCCACGTGTGCGTGTAGTGACAACATGTTCTTCTTCAATACTTTCAGTGGGTCAGTCAACGCCGACTCATCCAAGCCCTCTAGTTCAGCCTTGTCAGCCTCTAAAGATTCAAGCCTGGCTGCTCTAGTTTTCATCGCATTTTCTCTATCGGTAGCATCTTTCAGGTCCTTCTCTAACTTACGGCGGAGCATTTCTGAGCTCCCTCTGACGCGGGGTCTGAACTGCGAGCCCGCCATTTGACTAGAAGACTGGCTGGAGCCTGTGGAACCGGAAGTGCCCAAGCAACTTCTAGAACTCGTTGGCATTCCCAACGAGCTCCCATTAGTTCCTGACGAGGACGCAAATGAAGAAGCAGCAGAGCTTGCGCCGTTAGCCATCGCAACTGCTCTGGCTGCTGTTGCCTGCTCTCTTGCTGCTCTGTTTGCTTCTGCTATCCCCGCTGCTAACGCACGGGCTCTACGTATCCGTCTTTCTTCTCCCGGATCCAAGGCCTGGAACACATGTGGTACCCTTAGTGATTGTGCACGTGTTATTACCCTCAGTTCTATCATGAGGAGGGTCAGAACCACTCATTAGTTAGACAAATAGTATCTGAACTAGAATCCCCTAGTGGAATCCTACCGCAGCATGTATCTGACCGGCACGTAATTTTCTAAAAATGATTGTGTCCGGCGAGTTCCTTACTATATCGAATCAAGTGGCATCTCTACAACATTCACACAGATTGTCTACATAGTCTAGATGCACCCTGATTGGTTCACTTACAGCAGCATTAGTTAGAACTGGCTATGGTAGCATACAACAGTCCTACACTAATCTGTCTGTGAGGTTAGCAGTCCGTCAACCAACTAATCAAAGGTACAAAAAGACAATGTAGCAGATGTATGATTGATGGGTATGGTTGTGTAAACAGCTGAGCACCAATTGGAACCTACCCTCCCCTCAATCCAACCATTCGAACAACATCATTGAGCAGGCAGTGCCTTCGTGTGTATTTCGGCCCACCCCTGTGCCCAAGTTGTCACCGAGCAAGCCAGCCCAACCACTCTTATTTACCCTCGTACGGCGACGAGCCTTCCTGTCCATGTGATCTGGCTGATTAGGAGGAATTTATAGAGCGCCCCCATCTCTTCAGGAATTATTTAACGTCGCAGTCAGGACGACGATCACAGCCAGAATCACAATGAACTCCCAACCAGAAATGTCTATAGACGGTCTGGTAAGCGTCTGTCATGGGCTGGCACACCCGGAGGAACTTCTATCAGCGCAGCAAGTGCCAAACAGGACAGCAGCCATTGCATGCGTGCACTACTCCCTGTGGGTTGGCATGGTGACCGTGACCCAAGTGCTTCAACCAGGGCCCTTCAAAGGCACCGCCCTTTCTCCTTCCAGATGCTTCCGGGAAGATTGTCGTCTCTCAAGGTAGCGCGCTCACGACACCTCACCAAGGAGAGGACTCTCAAGTTGGACTCACTTCCTCACGGTAAGAAGAGATTGAGAGGGTAGATAAGGTAAGGGATCAACATACCTGGAGATAGCTGCCCCCAACCACAGATTTCTCACCAATTGAGCTGATGTTGCATTTGATGACCGGTCATGACCTCGATACCACCCACAACGCAATGCAGTGCCACCTTAGTCCAATGCCACATCAGCATGCTCTCATCATCAATCAAACATTCCGCCTGTCACCACGGCTAATAAGGCCGTCAATAGCCTTCCGGTGCACCCCTCTCTACCCAGGGCGTGCACCTAGTGTAGCCTAACGTCACAAGTACCCACTGCGAAGAAGCGTCATCAACGCACCAAGTCTGTATAACGCCAGCGTGCCAWAGGTAAGTGGCGATCAAACCAGCTCCAATACCAAATTGCAAGGAACATGAGTGTGTACGAAGCACAGAAATCCAGAATGCAATATCACACTGAAGTCCAAGTATTCAAAGCCAAAGCAGATAGCACATGGAACCGAGTAACCATCCAATTGAGATTGATACAGAAGAATCGTGAGTCAATGTCCATGCCCAACAGGGCAACACCAACAGCATATCCCAAATGTAGCTCTCTCTTGTGAATGGCACCAGGCGCCCTATCTACTCTACAGCTATCCTACAACTACAGCAATGAAAAGCAACTAGACCACTTGACTACCAGCGAGTGATGATGTCAACACCAATGTCATCCTCCACCATCACCAGGTACGTGTCATCTTCCCCACACTCTCCCTTGTCACCTACACAGCGCCCTTCACCTCCAAAGTACCACCTTCGCCCATCACCCCTCTGCGCACACAGGCAGCGCGGCTATGGCCGCCAGCGCCCTGCGCTCAGAGGCACCACCCTACCGCCTAGCGCTGTCCTGCTCCACTCAGCCTTAGCGCAGCGCAGCATGCATGCAACGCAGCAGCGTGCCAGCCTTGCTCGCAATCGCCAAGATCCCTGCTGCCTCGTCCTGCTTGCCTATATGCCAATGCAGCATGTGGGCGGCCTCCCCTCAGTCTGCGACAGGGGCCCAGAGGCTGAACTCAGCCCGATACAGTTGGGCCCCGGGAGATGCAGTTGTGCCTCTCTCATCCAGGCCTGCGGTCAGATTCAGACACTGGGCCGATTTCCCTTTGCATTTTCGGCCTCTTTACCCAACGTGCATTGTCGGCCTCACGTTCAGGAGCCCAGGGCCTAACTAACTCAGAGGCCCTGGGCATTTCAGCATTTGCTGAGATCCGAAACTCGGTGCACTCCAACCGATTGGCGTGCTGCAACTGTAAGGACCCCACTTCGTGAAATGTATGCACAGAGGGCTATTGTTGATTTGCTGGCCCGCCTTCACTTAGGGCGGGCACGAGGCTTGCTGGGGCCTTAGCCCAGAACATGTACATCATGGCAAGGCCCCTTCTTGAGGGCTCATTCCTCACACATGTTAGAACTACCAGGATTTCTAATCGGCATCACAAAAAATTATTCAGCAACTCCCTCAAGATGGATGCTCTCTCTCTTCCTTTTATCCACGAGTCTCTACGGGCAGCGAAATATGAACTCAAAAAAAGAAACAAACTGAAAAGCTCAAAGAGCGAGAAGATAGAAGTCCTAGTCGGACCGGCATTACATTTGGGCTAGAGAGCAACCAAAACAATAAAGTAAGAATTCAATGAGAGTTTGATCCAACAACTCAGCCTAACCAATCCCAATACGAGATCCCTCTGAGTCCAATCTAACCACTTCCATGAACGTAAAACAAATCAGACAATGAGTGACAACATGCATCAATGGAGAATTGAGTGGTGTATAAGGTGTGAGTCAAGCTACGGACTCTGTGGTAAAAGTAGACAATATCGCAACCGAGATCACCTCAACAACGAGTGCTCAAACCAAAGAACGAAATTGTCCTAGACATAAAAAGTATGATCTAGCGTCAAGCAGATTTGGGCCTAAGGGGCTCTTCTTGCTTGGGCCTGCTCCCACTAGGTACCCAAAAGGTCCCAAATAGGCCGTGACCAAGTCCCAACCAAGAAGAGTCGCAGATGGACCTACTTTCTGCCTCTACCGAATTGGAAAACGAATTTCAACTTCGGAGAAAACCTACAATCTACATCCGTTCAGAGACAAAAAGACAATGCACTATAGAAAGATATGGTCTCCAAAGCAAGATACCTCAACTCTTCATCCATCAGGTGAGAAAACAATTTGCATACTCATGCTCACAATCAAGACCACAAAGGAGTAGGAAAAGAGACCCAGAGTAACCCTAACAGGGCAATCAATACCATGCACACACATACATGGGCATCCCATAGGTGCATGGCAGTTACCTGAGTGGCTTGAGCTTCGAGTTGAATAAAACTCACCTACCTCTCATATGGTCCTCCTCACCCCCTTAACGCAACCCCTACACTAGTGTCCTATCTACTAAGAGGGTCTGACTCCAACACCAAAGTGCAACGCCGGATCCCCCGCCAATGTTGAAGAACAAAGGAGCAACTTGCAGTCCGTAGATGCATAATGGCTGCTTTCCCTCAAGCTCACCTACTTGAGGGAAGCTCTAAAGTCGCCAAGTGTCTCCCTTGAATCAGATTCTAGGTGCAAGTGCCTCTCACTGTGGCCTCTCTAATTGTTGCATGAAGTCTCCACGAAATGTCTCACCACCCCAAACTTACTCTCAAGCAACCTGGTTAGGCCCAATGCGAACCCAACATAACCTAACCAGGTCGGGGCAGCTTCGCTTAACCAAGCTGCCCCAGTTACCTCAACTTCCAGCCCTAACCCTAAGTGGTAGAATCCGCTCCGATACCAATGTTATAATCCAATTTCCAAGTACACATTCATGAGAAACTACAATGTCGTCCAATTGCGAAAAGAAATGAATGAACTTGAGAGGAGAGAGAGGGAAAGAACAAGAAGAAGAAAAAAAAAAGAAAAAAAATATGATGATGTACACCAGCAAAGAGCAACGATAATTCCCTTCTTCTTCGCCAACCACTCTCCTCCTTATCTCCTCCCCTCTTATTCAAACAAGAAATAATAATAATAATGTTGAATGGCCAGGAGGTCCCAACCATTTTTTACGGGTACATAATTTCATTAACACACGAATGCAGTCAAGAGTTCCACCGCTAGGCTCGAAGAAAGAGTCAAGCCTATATGGTCGTAACAAGTGCTCTCCGAACCGTGCGAGATGGTCACCCATCACACGGCTCTCCAACTCAAGTTGCCTTGAACCACAATTAATGTTTGAATCCCTCTTCAACTGCAGGTGCAATAAGGCTTGTCTCACTCTCGCTTCAACAGGCATGCAAACAGATGACGAACAATTGGTGCACAACCCCCACACAGAGCTCAAAGATGTGAAGTGGCCAGGAACACAACTCAAATTCAAACTTGTCTTTGATGGCTATGACGCAGAGCGCCAGGCAAAGATTCCCACCCGATTAACTATGTCCACCAGCAACTTATTCGCACACACACTCGCACTCTCGGATCACCTTGGATGTCCCGCACACACTCCCACTCTACACATACACACTAACTTGTCCTACGTGGTAGCTATGGCGGCTGTCGTCTAACCCCTATGCCATCTTGCGGCTATGGCCGCGTCTTTCTCCTCTTAGCCCTCTTCTGCTTTGGGCACTTGCAGACCTTCGTAGCACAAGACGCTCCGACAACGCTTCCACACGGCTCCCAGGCATAATGAATGAATGAATCACTTGACGCTGCCTGTTTATTTATACTTCGGATTGTCGTAGGTCTGCCCTCGGACCCTGGGCCCGAGGTGTGCACAATCCCACATGGTACTTGCTGACTGAACGAAGTGCAACTTGGAACTGGGTACCGCTGACTAGACTAGATAGGACTGGGACTGCCCTTTGCTGACTATGCTAGGACTGCCCCTCGCTGGCTCAGTCGCGGACTGACTCCTAAGACTCACGAAAAGCCAGTTCCAGAGCTTCTAGAAGGTCCAAGTCTTGACCCTCCGGAACTGTAGCAGCTACGACCTATAGTACACCTATGATGTCTAAGGTTTACGGGTCAAACCCCTATGACCGCACTACATACAACAGGCGAACCTACCGACTTTCAGGAAACAGGTAACGGGTTCAAATACACGGGTCAACGGGGTAC